CTAGGGGAGCAGGGGACCTTGCTCTGTGATGCCCACACAGGTGTCTACCACGGCTGGGGAAGTCAGCCTTCTTAGAATGAGAAGAGTGCTAGCAATAAAGGGTGACAATACAGAACACAGAGGAACACAATGATTCTTTATCTTTATGTTGAATTTTCCCGTGAGATACGCTGATAAAACCAGATCAGATCTGATCCTCAGCTTCTCTCAGATGCTTAAAAAAATGGCTGGCAAGAAAGACCTGGAAATACATTTTCCGCCTGCTGAAGTCACTCTGTCTCTTCCTTTCCCTACCTGGCTAAAAATACAACCAAAGTGTCATGAAATAATAACAAAACACACAAAAAAATCCCCAGCATGTGAGGTGGGGATATCAGTTAGCTAAGTGTTTGGTATGCAAACATCCCAAGGGGGACTTGCAGATGGGGAACACAGAGGGTGGCAAGAGAACTAGGGAGCAAGGCACTGCTTCCCAGGGAAAGCGGTGGTGCAGGAGCTCACGCTCACTGACGGGCCAGACTGATGCAGTTGCCATTCATGTCCACCTAGGGGCAGCAGTTTAGCCAGAGGCACCTGTACCTCTGGTTCGGATGCCAACTAAACGCTGAATGTGTGTCATATACCAGACTCTGGCATGCACTGGGAACTGAACTGTTGGAAAGGATGGTATCTGCCAGCAGCAATCCCGTTTGGGCAGGGTCTGGTCTAGATTTTTCCAACGCTGAAGCCCAAATCAGGACAGAAAGCTGGGAGCAGAACGTTGAAACTTCCAGAGAAATGGAGCTATCCATCATGTTAGGTTCTAGTATATATTTTTTGCAGGGAAGCAACTCCAAGGGCTGAAGAAATTCATCTAGGACAGGCAGATATTCAAATAAAGACCTCATGGAGAGTAACTAATATGAATGCCAGTGGCCTGCTGGCAGGCCGTGGAGTGAGCTCGGTTCTTTGTGCTGTCCTTTCTGAGTACAGACCAGTCCCTGTAGCCAGGTGTGGTGATGTACACCTATAATTCCAAATAGTCAGGACCCTGATCCAGGAGGATAACAAATTCCAGCCCATCGTAAGCAATCCAGCAGACCTTGTCTCAAGAAAATAAAAAAAGGAGAAGGGGAAAGGAAGGAAGGGAAAAGGAAAAAGAGAACAGAAGGGAAAAAACGGAAACAACACTTTTGTCAATAAGGATGGGAAAAGGGGTTGAAGGGAGGGGGCAGGAAAGGAAAAAAGAAGAATCAAGATGTACCATGTACAGGTACAATTGCCCTATGATGAATGCTATCATTATGTATATCTAAAATGTACCAATAAAAAAAACTAATTTTTTTAAAAAAGAAAAGAGATGGGGAGGTAGCCAGTGTGAAGACTGTGGGTTGAATTAGCACCCAAATAAAAATGAAACAAAACAAGTAAGAAAAGAATAAACACCAGGCATGGTGGTGCACGCCTGTAATCCCAGCACTCGGGAGGCTGAGGCAGGAGGATCATTGCAAATTCGAGACCAGCCTGGGCTACAAAGTGAGCTCAAGGCCAGCCTGAACTGCACAGTGAGACCCTGTCTCAAAAGGACCAAAAAAAAAAAAAAAAAAAGAAAGAAAAGAATAAACTATCCTCTGCAAAGGACAATTTTGTTTAAGGACAGATTTAGACATAATAAGAAAGGAAGTTTGAAAATGAAAGAATTCACTACTCAATTACTCTGGTCAGTGTTTCCTAAGCTGTGGTCCACATGCCACTTGAGGCAGTGTAGATAACTTTGGATAAAATAGCTATCATTCAAATAGTTCATATTTTACTGTGTCTTAGAGTAAATATAATTTGTTATACCAAAACCTGTGACTTCACAGGTGATGTTACTGGCTTTCTAGTTATAGCAGTAATATAAAAATTTTATTTTTAAAGACTTACAGTAATCAAGAGTTTATTTAAAATATTAAGTGACTGATAATGCAGGAGATGTTATTACAAGAGTATAGCAGATCTCAGGAAGATGGAGTATTAATGACCAGAAAGTTTGGAAACTGCTTTCCTATGCCAGGATTAAGGTGGGTTGATTCACAGACAAGTGAGTTCAGAATGCCAGACAGGCGAAGGGGATGCAGTAGAGCCGTCAGAGGATCTGGGTTCCAGTTCCACTGCCACTAAGTCTAGGTGACACTGATTTCTCTTTGGGTCCCAATTTCCTTATCTATAAAATAGCTCCAGCTGGGCATGTGGTGCACACCTGTAATCTCAGCACTTTTGAGGTTGAGGCAGGAGGATTGCTTCAAGTTCGAGGCCAGCCTGGGCTACAAGGTGAGTTCAAGGCCAGCCTGAACTACATAGTGAGCCTGTCTCAAAAAGCACACAAACATATACTTAGGACACAGGTTTAATTCTTGTGCTTCAATGGCTTCCTCTATAAAATAGGAATCTCAATAGCACTGACTGAGCCAAGTGTGGTGGCATACACCTATTCTGTAGGCTGAGGCAAAAGGATCATTTGAGCTTAGGAGTTTGAAACTATCCTGAGCAACACAGACCTCCCCATCTCAAAAAGGTGCCTGCCTTAAAGGATGCTGTAAAGCCTAAATGAATTCTGACATATAAACTGCTTAAAACACTGCCTGAGATATGGGAAGCAAGTGCATAATAAATATTGGCTATTATTATTCCCATGAAAGAAAAATGGAAAAACTTAACCCCATTATATAGTGAGAGAGACAGACAGACAGACAGACAGAGCATCTTCATTTTCCCAACTCCGCTTACTGACTGAAGTCAAGGTCATTCAAAGGCAACTAGGAATATAAAATAATAAATAAAGGTCACAGGATGTATCAGTAATAGCCCTCCTTCTTCCTTCTTTTTTTTTTTTTTGAGACAAGGTCTTTCTATGTAGTCCAGGCTGGCCTTGAACTCACTATGTAGCCCAGGCTGGCCTCAAACTTGCAGCGATCTTCCTGCCTCAGCTTCCCAGGTGCTGGGATTATAGGCATTTGTTACCATGCCTGGCCATTTTCTTTTTTTTTTCTTTCTCTCTTTTTTTCTGTGTGTGACAGGGTCTTACTTTGTAGTTCAGGTTGGCCTTGAACTCAGCCCAGGCTGGCCTTAAACTTGCAGTGATCCTCCTGCCTCAGTCTCCCAAGTGTTGGGATCACAGGCATGTGCCACCATGACCAGCTGCCTTATCTTTCCAATCCCATAGTAACATTAAGCACTTTTTATCCTTAGAACATTTAAAAATATTGATATTAAAATTATCATGATGTATTACATTCTAAATTAAAATTTACTTGTTGTCTACCACTCTCAGTTAAATTGTGATTTCCTTTATGGAAGAGACTCCTTTGATTTTTCTTCTTTAAGTCTTAGCAAAGCAGTTGTCTTAAAGAAATAAGTGCTCAAACCGGGAGTGGTGACTCATGCCTGTAATCCCAGAACTTGGGAGGCTGAGGCAGGTGGATCACTGCACGTTCAAGACCAGCTTGGGTTACAAAGTGAGCTTAAGGCTGGTCTAAACTGCATAGCGAGACCCTGTCTCAAAAAAAAATAAGTGCTCAATAAATGTTTGCTAAGTGAATGTAGTAGAAAAAAATTAATATAATAGAAAATAAGTATTGTGGACTGATCAAGCCCACAATCTCCCAAACTAGTGTAAGGTAAAGGCTTAAAAAAAGTCAAGTGGTAAGATTTTAGGGCTCCAAGAGGATCAAAACCCTCTAGCAGAATTCAAGATTCTCTTGGGGCTAAGACAGATCTTCTCTGGGTGGCCTGTAATTATTCAGTTATCAAACAAAGGAGGGGAACCAGGGGTGTGGTGGCCCACACTTATAACCCTAGCACTGGAGAGGCTGAGGCAGGAGGATCATTGTGAATTTGAAACCAGCCTGGGCTACAAAGTGAGCTCAGGGCCAGCCTGAACTGCATAGTGAGACCCTGTCTCAAAAAGACAAAAAAAATAAAAACAAAACAAAAACCAAACAAAGGAGGGGAATACTGAAGAAAGGCAAGAATCTGCGTAGGACGGTCAAGAACTTTAGATGTCTGCTGGAGGACTTCTCCAGGTAAGACATTATGTTAATTTAGGAGAACTATGTTATCTCCAGGAGCCCTTCACTGCAGGAGATGCCTGCAGCTATAGTCTTTATCTAGTTAATTGGGGTTGGAGCCAGGTGTCCTTATGTCTTGTTGTTTGAGGCATCAGGGCTTCACAGGCCTCAGTCAGGACCAGTGACTCATAGAGGTTCACTTACTATGAGTCTGCTGCCCATTTCCAGACAAGGGGCCAGACAAGTTAACACAGAAACCCGACTGGTTAATTTAAATCCTGCTTAGAGCCACCAATTAGTAGTCTCCATCAAAGAATTATATACATAAACAATAAAATAAAAATATATTTATGATATTACCAAAAAGAGGCTCAAAGCAGGTAAGATTATAGCTCAAAAAGGACAAATTACTTCTAGGCAGTAAACAATAATAATAATAAATAGTGGTTAAACCTGTAATCAGCTACTCAGGAGGCTGAGACAGGTGGTCAGGAGACTGAGGTAGGAGTCTTACAAGTCTGAGGCCAGCCGGGCTACAGAGCAAGAGCCTGTCTTTAAATAAAAAAGAAAAAGAGGGAGGGGAATGGGAAAAAAAAGAATCAAGATATATCATGTATAGGTACAATTTCCCTATGATGAATGTGATTATTATGTCTACCTAATATATACCAATAAACTTAATTAATTAAGAAAAATAAAAGGACTGGGGATGTAGTCTAGTATAGAGTACCCGAATTCTCTCTCTAGTTTTTAAGGAAAAAAGAAAGTTACATTTGCAAACTTTAGACTTAGACAGCCTTGTTTTGAGCCCTAACATTACCATGTATGCATTTAGGTTGGCTAGGGATAGAACAGTTTCTTTACCAGTGAAATGGGGAAAGTGTTATTTGGAGGAAATAAGTGAGATGATGTACATAAAGTGCCAGGTATCCATTATGACACTGTGGAGTGGCTAACATACCACCATCATCTGCACCATCATCAAAGGCTTTGTGATGTAAGCAAGCACTTACTGCCTGGATGGCCCCACAGGGAGCAGAACACTGAACACCCAGAAGGTATGCGCAAAGGTAGGGCCCCGCCTTGGGAAGATTCGTGCATACCACCAGGGCAAATGGTGCTATTTGATTAAGACATTGAGTAGTTCTAGGAAGGCAGTTGGGAAGAGTGGGAAGTGGCCTGTGCCTTCAGACTAAGACGTTTGGTCTTTATTCTGTAGACAACACTGAGACTTCACAGGATTCAAAATAGGGTAATGACTGGTTCAGAGCCAGCAATAGGAGGAATGTTTTGTGGTGAATGGACTTGTGGGGGGAGATGGAAGGAGATTAAGAGACACTTCCAGTGCTGCCACTGAGAGTGACGTTCCCCTCTGTGGCGGCAAGGGAAAGGAAAAGAGGGCGCAAACTTATGGGACTTGGACAGTGAGAGCCGAGTATCCTCCTGGAAACTCGCTCTGCTCTTGGTTTCTATGAAGGTGTGAGGAGAAAGAGTCAGAACAGCTCTGCAGCTGAACAACCAGAGGGCCAGGAGCACCGTGCTACTGTTCCAGCAGGAGGAAAACAGAGGAGCCTAGTGGAGAGGAAGGTAGATTTTCCTTAGCTTTGCTAAGCGTGAGGTGCCACGAGATCTCTAGGTAATGAATGATAACCAGGAGACACGTGAAAATGTGATTTTAGTGTTAAATGTTTATTTATAAGATATCTGGATGGATGTATAAGATGTGATAAAAAATACCGTGAATGTTTACAACTTTAAAAAATTTTAAAAGATGCATTGCAATTAACCCCCCCTTATTTCAAATGCACTGCCGCTCTTGTTCTTTGAAACTGTCCTGAGCAACATAGTGAGACCCTCCCCCAGCTGCTTTCTGAAGCAGTTCTGAATGTTTTCTTTAGTTGCACCATTGTGGGTACCTTGATGTCCTGAATTATTTCAAACTGTTTTACCTTTCCTGGTCGTTTTGACTTTGGGAAGAGCTAGAAGTTGTGTGGTGGTAGGTCCTGTGAATGAGGTGGATGAGGATACACAGTAAAGTTTCTGTTTGATTTTGTTTTTTTTGAGACAGGGTGTCACTATGTAGTGTAGGCTGGCCTTGAACTCACAGTGATCCTCCTGCCTCAGCCTCCTGAGTGCTGGGATTACAGGAACGCACCACCGTGCCTTGCTCACTATAATGTGTTTATAAGCTCACCTTTCTGTTGGCTGGCACTCAGCAGCAGCACTCACTGTACTGTTGCTCACACCTTATAAAGACACAAATGAGGACTTCCAGAGCTGCTTCAGCAAGTGGCCAGAACAATGGGATAAGTGTGTTTGAAGCAGGGGAAGTATTGTGAAGAGGATTAATGGCAATGCGTCTTTAACTGTAATATATTTAAAATTTTTTGAATATTTACCTTATATTTTGATCATACCTAAATGTAATGTCTAAAAGTATACAGCTGGATCAGCTATCTGAGGAGGGCAGTCCAGAGGACAAGGGGCTCATCTTTAGAAAACACCTCTCACAGCTATGAGAGTGACAGGGGAGCCTGTGCGCGAGGAGGGAGGAGAGGTGCAGAACACGCCTACACAGAAACAGAGCAGAGCGAGTTTTCAGTATTCAGAGGACTCATGAGCAGCAGACAGCTCAGAAAGAAAAAACAAAAAGGGACCACTGGGTTTGGTCATTAGAAAACCACTGATGACTTATGAGAGAATAACATGTGGAAGGAAAAACTAGACTGAGTGCCAAGGGAGGAAGTGGTGTGGGAAAAGGTCCTGAGAACACATTGTAGTTCAAGAAAGTGCCAGACAACAGGACAGAGGTAAATGGGAAGAAAATGCTCAAAAGGAAAGAAACTGGAATGGGGGAAAGAAGAAGAGAAGGAAGGGAAAAGAAAAAAACATATACACACACACACACACACACACACACACACACACGATAGTTAAGATAGTTATAATACTAACTGCTATTAATTCACTGAAAAGAAAGGTTTATGCCTATATTGTCTGATCAATTTTTCATGCCTCCATCTTGTAATATGAGCAACTACTCTGTTCTTTTTTGTTTTTTTTTTCCAGTACCGGGAATTGAACTCACAACCTCACGCTTGCCAGGCAGGTGCTTTGCCACTGAGCTAAATCCCCAGCCCATTGAGCAACTAGTCTGAAGATAACAATACTTAATGTAGTAACCAGTGTTACTCTCCTACAATCTTGTTTTGAAATTTTATACCATTGTTTTATTGTTTATTCTTTTCTTTAAAAAAAGAACAGCGGTAGGATGGTGGCTCCAGATGGAAGCAGAATTACCCTTCCCCAGATAGTCACTTGTCCAGGATTATTCAGTGATGATTTCTTGTACATACTTTAACCACTTGTCAGTCTACTTAAATACAGGATGACCAAAAATTGCATCTTTTTTCATTTATTTTTATAAGATAATATAACAGGAAATATAAAAATGATATTTTTTTCAAATTTATTGAATAAATTTTCTGTGTATGGTATATTTTAAAACATTCAATACACAATGCAATGTTACAATCTGGACAGTGGTAGCTAGTTTCTTTCCAAAAATTCTTTTGTATTATTATCTTTCTTTGAGTAACACACTTTATTTACACTGATGGGCTTTCCTTTTCTTCCTGTGGGTGGTATAATTTTAATAAAATGCCTACCCACTAAACGTAATGGTGAAGACATCGATGATAGATGTCCTGGTTGGTGTTTCACTATTCTGTATTTTTCAATTATTTGGTCTATTAGATTTAATCTAGGGGCTGGGATTTAGCTCAGCGGCACAGCACCTGTCTGGCAAGCGCAAGTTCGTGAGTTCGATTCCCAGTACTGGAAGAAAACCAAAAAAAAAAAAAAAAACAAAGACTTAATCTAAATTGTTTATGACTTTTTTTTTTTTTTTTGGTTTGTTTGTTTTTTGTTTTTTTCCCGTACCGGGAATCCAACTCACGACCTTGTGCTTGCCAGGCAGGCGCTGTGCCGCTGAGCTAAATCCCCAGCCCTTTTTTTGGTCTTTTTGAGATAGGGTCTTGCTATGCACTTCAGGCTGGCTTTGAGCTCACTATGCAGACCAGGCTGGCCTCAAACTTTCAACAATCCTCCTGTCTCAGCCTCCTGAATGCTGGGATTACAGGTGTGCACCACCATACCCGGCTTGTTCATGACCTTTTGAGCCCCCTTGTTTTCTTTTTTAGTTTGTTTGTTTTTCCTGGTACTGGGAATCGAACTCATGATCTTGCACTTGCCGGGCAGGCACTGTGCCACTGAGCTAAATTCCCAGCCCTTGAGCCCCCTTGTTTTGAATAAATAACAAACGAGTTCCCTATGGTTCGGTCCAGAAGGTACAAAAATATTATATAAAAATATTTTTTCCTTGCTTTTTGATTACAGGATAGCTTATTAGATGTTGGTCAACTCTGTCAACATCACCCGTAGAATTATTAGAATCACTGACCACTATTGGAAATTTTTCAGTTTCATTTCTTCTTGCAAGTTCCGTCATTTGGGTATTATGAATAGCTGGCAATAAGGAGATGTCTGTTTTGTCTTTCCATTTCATAACATAGGCTTTTCCTCTCTGACATGCTAACATTTTTCCCTTTCTCATTTTTTTCTTTTGCAGATCTTTTGGTACTTCCTATTCAGTCTCAGTGTCCCAAATGTGTCTGTTTTGTATCGTAAAAGAATATCACTGAGTTCTGGAGAAGTATAAAAATTGTATCTAATGTCTTTATAATAAGGGCTTTTAGAGATGGTAGCACAAAATTGCAGGTTATTTTTCACAAAATAAACATGAATTAGTAAAAGAAAATAACCAGGACTTATTAGGTTTCACTAGAAACAGACATCAAAGGTGAATACAACGTTCTAGATGAAAAAGTATGCAAAAAAGAGTTAATATGAAACAAATAAACATGTACAGTGAGTCTTATACAAACAAGATGACACCTGCCTGGGCAATGCAGGGGTAGTCACTACCTAAACAAGCGTGCTGCCCGAGTGACCCTTGGGGTAAACGGTTCAGTGGTTAATAGAAGGCAATTAGTTGGAAGAGGCCGGAGGAGGGGCTGTGGGGAAATTAGATGGAAGCCAGGCTCCCGCCGTCCTGAAGTTATAGAACACATTATCTGTATGTGTACAGTAGCATCTGTGTTAGCAGAGACAGAGCTTATTTATCACAGGACCACAGACTGAGAGCGGGAAACAAGAAACCCTCCTTTCCCACTTAGGAAAAGAAAGCTCCATCCATTTGTTGAGAAGTATTCAGAAGCTGTGGGAAAGTATTTTAGCCAGGAAGGAATGCAAAGATAAACAAGTGCATGCTGTCTTCCCTTCCTTGGCTTTTGTACCCAAAGGTATTTTAGGAAAATGCCCAGGTGCATCATTAGAACACTCCAGATAATACTATTACATTGCCTGAGTTTATAGGCCTCCCATCAGCACAGGGCTTTTCATTTTATAAAAAGCTCTCATGATCTCTTTAGTCCTGACAGAATCCCTGTGAGGCATTACTTTTCTATTTTACAAGGAAAGAATCTGAGGATCAGAAAGAATTAAGAGATACTCCCCAAATTACCCTGCCGGGAAATGGCAGAGCCCTCTACCCTTGCTGTTTTCCTTGCATGCTTTCAAATCACTCTCGTGGTCTTCACAGTATGACACCCTAGCTGGGGTTCGACAAGTCAAAGTGCAGCAGCAGCCTCATCTCCCTGGTTCAGGGGTTCTACAGTCCTATCCTCAGAGCCTAAAATGACATTAACCTTGGCCACTAAGCTGTATGCACTATATGGGTTGAATATTCCTATGCTTCCTTATTATCCTCACCATAAAGACTGCTGGAGCAGGAGTTCTTGGTAATGTGCTTTCTTCCCTCCCACATCCAGCCACTTCTGTCAAGCCTCTGAAATGCACAGACAAGTCTTGGCCCCTATACCTGCTCTAGGTGGTCAGGAGGTAGGACAGCAGCTCCCTTCCTCAATACCTAGTTTGGTTTAGTGGGAAGAGGGCCACATTTGGAGGCTGAAGGCTCAGTTTACAGCCTCGAGCAAGCTGCCAGTCTATC